AAACTTAGAGGAATTGGCTTCTTTCGTATTAACATATCAAAGCCTACCGTGCAGACAAGATTTTATAATTCAATAATTTTAAACGTTAATATAATTTCTTTAAAATATTTTTTATATTTGTATAAAAACTTGGTTGAAACCCGCGGGCATAATTTTTTTTTATTCAAAAACCTGTTTTATTTAATTTTTATTAAGAATCGGTTCAGCTCGTGCAAATCTTAAGATTTTTCCGAATACTTTTTTCTGGCGAGGCACCCTAATGCACATACGTATCCGCGTTATTTCTGTGAGGTGTGCCGCGCTTACCTAATACGCGACGTTGCGATTCCGCTTTATCTTGCAGCAATTGTGGACTAGCGAGTTTTTTCAAAGAAGTATTTATTTTATTAAATCTTTTGTAGTTTTAATTTGTTCTATGCTCCTTACTTTTGATTACATCCATTCGTTTGGTTTAAATAAAAAAAAAAAAAAAATTTTCTTCAAACCATTACTCATATATTTCGCTTTACGTTTAGCATATTTTTCGTGTTTTCCGATTGCTGGTTGTTGGACTTGCGCGCAGACAACAAGTCGGCGTTTCAGTTACCTTTAACGGCTAGTCGGCTAGTTACAGTTGCATTCATGGCGCGCTTGTGTAACTTTCGCACTACCATAAATTGTTGGCCAATATCAAGCGCCAAGCACCCACCAATCTCCTAATTAATCATTGTATTATAACGCCATAAAAAGCTTCAAAATGCTGGCGCTATGTTTGTGAAAGTGTGTATTGAGCTTTTTCCTTATGCTAGCATTATTTATAGAAATTTAATTAAGTGTTGTAGTGACAGTTTTTATTTTTTAAATAAGTGTTACTCTGTTACTTAGCATTTTGCATCGGAGAGTGCGATTCGATACAGTGACTGCGACAATGACAGTGGTCTTCCAGTGGTGACTGACTGCACATACATACATAGCTCTTGGTGGCTTTGTTTGGCTCGCATGATGCCACATTATATGCCTTTTAATGCTTTTATTGTCGCGAATAGTTAACAAAGCGAAGCGCATTTTATTTATTACTGCCTATTTACTACATTTCTTCTGCATTGCTGCTTAGAAGAATTTAATTATTCGCCTATTTCGTTTTCGGTTTCGGTTTCGGTTTCCATTCCCATTTCGAGCTTTATGTCAGCTGCGTGCTTTGAATTAGCGGGTGACTCAGTTACCATTTGTGTGCATCTTTTTCGACATACAAATATCTTTCTTTTCTTCGTATCTACTTTTGTTGGCGAGTGACCTTTAAAAGCAGTGCTTTTTTTGTATTGAAAGTGTTGAGTGGGCATTTTGCTTTCTTGATTTTGATTGTGCAACCTGTTGTTATGTTTACTTTGAAGCTTTGTTGTTAATAAAGATTTGCATATTTTAGTATGTACATACTTGGTTTTATTTATACTCGTCTCAATTGTCTTGTTTTTTTTTTCTCGTTTTGATGCGCTGCTAACAACGCCAACGCTTAATTGGCATTTCTTACAGACATACATACATATCGTCGTTTAAAGTACAAAACCGCATATCAAGTTAATGCAAAATCGCGTATGTGAGGTTACATAAATTACTTTCTAGAGAGTAAAAACACTCATATTTCAAACTTGTTCTCCTTTTTATAAAGCAATCGCATTTCTGGCTAGTATACTTCAGAACGAATGGATAAAGCTTGAGCCAAGAGCTTGTGTGAGCAAATCCAATTTTTGGCAAAAAATGTCAATTACGCGGTTTTGTAGAACGTCGATACTCGGTTTTGTACTTTAAACGACGAAATGTACGTAGTACTTTATTTTGAGTGCTTCTTCATTTGTTTGACTTTTATTAAAAACGACTCGCAATAACTGAAAATGTCGTCATTTCTCTACAAATAGCTTTAGCTAGGTTTAATGAAATTTATCACGGGTTGTCTCATATAGTTTTTAATAAATTGCGCTATATGTAAATACAGCTATGTGTATGTTTGTGTGTTTGTAGGTGTTTTATTAGCGTCTTACTTTTGTTTGAATTTGCTGTTTATTTGCATTGTAACTGGTTATTTTATTAGAGCTGCCCTCTGTCTGGCGACTCGAAGTGTGGTCTTTTGTCTTTGTATTTAACTCGGTTTTAAGATTGCTTTGAGCCCGTTTCGTTACACTTGCTGTGCCCAGTTATACTTAAATACAGTGGTGGCATACATAATGGAAACCAAACCGACGTCTCCACGCTTATTTACTACCTTTAATTAAAAAAAAAAGCTGTCAAATGTTTCGCGTATCAAGTATACATATATTTGACGCCCACTTGTTTATTAAATGTTTAGCCCAGCTTATCCTCCACATTTTTGTTAAGTGATTGGCCGCTTCAAAAGAGCCGGAATTTTTATTTTTTTTATTTGTCCAACTTGCTCCAACGAGCGTTGCCAGGTTGACGTTTTTTATTGTCTGTTCACTTTAAGACGTTTTCTGGGTTGAAAATCATTTTTTTTTTTGTCACAAAACTCCAAGTTTTACAATGGAAAACTTTCGAAAGACAATTTTAGCGAAGCGGGTATCTTCGTACAACTCCTGATTTATGCTCTACTTAGGAAAAATTTCGAGTCAACCATAGCCGTAAACATGAATTGTCAACCGAAACCATTGCGATGTCTCAATGTTTTTATGGCCGAGTCTTAAAATGAAATGAACTGATAAACTTTCGACGTTAGACAAATCCGTGGTAAGAATAAACAAACAAATTTTACATATCTATGTACATTAGGGTGGTCAAAAAAAAAAATCTTAAAATGTTAAGCTCTCGCCATTAACGATTTTTCTAAATGGAAAAAATAATACCCTTATTTTTTTTTGTTAAAAAAAAAAAAGTTAATTAAAACTGCCTCAACTGCTGTATTATATATGAAGAAAAACACTTTCGTAGAAATGGTATAGAATTATTGAAAATAAAATTTTTTCGATCGGAAAACTCTGTTTCTCTTTAGGAGACTTCCAGTAACAATACCCAATTGTTTATTTAACCATTTTTTTTATTACTAACTGTTTTATGAGTCCTCCAAAAACCCCGAAAAGTGCAATTGGGGACCCATAAAATATCGTTAGCATTAAAATGTGGTGAAATAGACAATTGGTTATTATTATTGGAAATTGTTCCGTTTGAAAAACATTGGATTAACAAGCATTCTATACAATTTCTACGAAAAAGTGTTTTCCCCATATAAAATGAAAAACTTCATGAGCTTTAAAGCATTTCTTAATATATTTTTTTTTTAACAAAAAAGTACGGATATTCTTTTTTCCATTGAGAAAAATCTAAGGATGAGAGCTTAACATTTTATACTTTTTATACCACCCTAATGTCCACTCAGAAAAAAATTAGCTAAATATATTCCCCTTAACACATGGTTTGGTAACTATAACCAAATAATGTAACTATAACCAAATTATGTGTCGCGAGCCACGTATTTAGTTGACGTAACTAAACTCTTTTCTCAGTGTAGAAGCTTTAAATAATTGATTTATTTAAAAATACCACATAAGCACCTCGTCTACATATTAGGCTCTTCAAATTCACACAAACCAAAAGGCGTCGTTATTTCGGTTCTTTTCACGTCGTCGGATGAATTTGTTACCTGATGGAATGCTCTTTGAAGGTCAATTTTCAAAAAAAAAAAAAAAAAAATTATTTCTCGCTAATAATATTGTCAACGTGCGTTAGGTGTAGCGGTGGATACCGATCAGGTATCTACCGTCTCGGCGTTGAGCGCCCTCCAGGTTACATCACTTTTTCTAACCCTATGCAGGGGGCTGACCAATTGCTGCTGGATGCGCGGCAAATTCCAGCTTACAGTAAAAAGTCGAATTCCAATTTGTCAGGCGGCAAACGACGCGGTCTACAGAACACTGGCTGTGCGGTCATTTGATTCCATGAAAATTTATTTATTTGACGCATGGCGCCGACTTGGTTTAGTGACATCGGCAATTACAAACCAGACAAACTCACGCCGAAGACCTAGATTAAGTTTCAACCGCTTTTCACCTAAAACTTTGATGGCAGCCCCATATGGCTAGTGGAAGGATTGATATGCGAAATTCGAACTTTTACTGGGAGGTTGACATGGTTCATATTTAAAATTCTTATTACTTACATGAAAAGCACTCCACTTAAAAGTAATGAAATAACTCAACAAAAAATTAACCGTTAGGTGGTGTGGGTCGATTTTGTTTAGTAATCAGCTAGGAAAGCTTGTCTTTAAAAATTCTTTTTTTTTTTATTTGTTTCTGGAAGGCCTTAGTTGTTTTCATTATGTCTATACAATTTTGTAAACAAAAAATAAATTACAGAATTTTGGTTTATTTCTAGATGTTATATTTTCCACCACTGTACTATATTATATAGTACTTGTAAAAAGATCAAACATCAACTGAGTTGGAGGTCTTTGTTTTCTGTATAAATTGTTTTTGTTCACATGTAGATATGTCATACGATAGTCGAAATCTTAGTTAATTCCGTTTGTGGTACAGTTCCAGCCTTAGCAGAAATTTTTGTTTTGCAAAACACCTTGCTATCTTGTCGCACACAACTTATAATTTTCACCTCACGACATTGTTTTTTATTTGCTGAATATTTATTTATCACAAGTGCTTAATCCCAAAAAACACGACAACAAATACAAAATTTATTAATAGACGATTTTGTTTTTTGAACTGCCTTAACTTGTTGCTGATTCATATTCTATACAAAGATACTCAATATACAATATACCTACATACATATACATATACCTTTAGTAATAGTGCTTTGCCGGCAGCATTCATTCGTTTGAAGTTGTTGCAGTTTGTTGTTTGTTGCCATTACTTCTTGCTGCTAAATACTCGTACATATAAACATACATATATTTTTCTTAGCTAAAGCTTTAACTCTAGCGTTTTGTTAATTGCTAACTGTGCTTTGTTTATATTGCATTGCTAATTAACACTTTGGCTTTTTATTATTCCCCTCTTTAGTCACGTCACTGAGCGATTCACAACCTTCCCAACGATCTGCGAAAGCATCCAATGTTACTGCCACCGCTCCCACAAGCACCATCACCGCCGCCGCCAATACAGCACACGTAAGATCAGCCGCCGCATCAGCAGCCACATCGGCGGCACACACCGCAGCAGCTACATCCAAGGTGTTCATCAAGAAGTCCGGCAGTAATTCGTCGACGCAAAGCTCCAATCGTAAGGACAGTTTCGGCTCATATGATTCACTCAACGATATACTCTCTGAAACAGGCTTGCAGAGCGGCAATGTTGCTGCACAACGCAAATCGCTGGAGAATAAAAATCTAGATTTGTCAGCGAATGCGGCGGACGCAAGCAGCCGCCTGGCATTGAAGAAGCAGCAATTACAGCAACAACAACAGCATTTGCAAGAGACGAAGACGGTGTTGACAAATAACGGTAGTGTTACAACGACGACCACAACAACCAGCAGCATGTCAGCGAGCTCAGCCGCAGTTGCAAATGAATTGCGCAAGAGCTTGGAAAGTTTGGATGAGAAGACGAAGACACCGCCACCAGTGCTGACGAAGAAGCCCACCGTAACGACGAAGAAACCGTCGAGTGTTACGGGCGTTGCGAGTAAGTCACGTAGTCCTTATATTGAATCCGTTGTATATATAATTAAGTGTTCTTTTTTTGCAGGCAACCTCTTCGGCTTCGGCAAGCAAAAAACGAAAAGCACCGACAGCAAACTCACCACCGCTGCTTCCCAAGATTTTGCGGATGGAATGTGCAGCAGTAAGACTTCAACGTCGGGAGATGCAGTTGTTTTACGTCGGGCCGCCACTATAGCAACTGAGGACTCCGATTTCGATCGGCTAGAACGCTCCTCCATACTGACAGATATGCGTGCAGGACGCGTTAAAGCGCCCAAGCGACGTCCACCTTCGGCGGCCATTAATATAATCGGTGAAAGCAACAATAACGATACAATTTACCTCAATGGTAGCAGCGGTGGCGGCGCTTCTGGTGGCGAGTTGTCACAAGAGGAAGGCAAACTACAATCGTCCGACGAAAACTCGACCGGCGAGGAACAGTTGGCAAAACCGAGGCCACGCGAATGGGAGAAGAAGAAGGCACCATGGATGGAAGAGCTGAAAGCATCACAGGTAAAGAAGAAGACCTCGCCCAGCGTGGAACCACGCACTCAAAGCACCAGCAGTGTGACCGATCGGACATCACGACTGCTTAGCGATGATGTCAAAGTTACTAGCAGCAATCACAGTAGCAGTCATAGCAGTAGTAGCGCCACGAGTAGCTCGACCAGCACCACCACAAAAGTACAGTCCTCGTCAGTTTCGTCGAGCTTAATGCAACAATCGATGACTGTTGAGAGCAGCCAGCAGGTGCTGAAGCGAGAACTAAATTCCAACACTATTGCTGACATCATGACCAAAAGTATGAGCAATAAATTCACCACTGACTCATCGACGCTTTCACTGACGACGACGGCGCCGCCGCATGCCACCTCAGCCACCAACGCCACCACTGCCGGCGATGATGTACGCGCGCGACCCAACAGCCTATCGATACGTAATCGCAGTATGTCACCTTCATTGGCGGAAAGTAGCGGCAGTGGCAGTGTGCGCACAGGAGCAATGAAGAGTACCGCTTCACCAGCAACGACAGCCACCAACGAGCCGCCGAGCTCCAATGGCGCGGTGAGCTCATCCGTACTAGTTGCCAATGTGGCAGCGGCGGCGTCCAGTCAAAATTCAATAGGTGCTAATAACCATTATCAACAGCGGACCAGCAACCCCGCTGCAGCGCCGATAGCCAGCGATAATGCGCGCATTGGTGAATTAGAGCGGCGTGTTGGAAAACTAGAGCAAACTGTGGGCGCACAACAACGCACCATCGACGAACTGTTGCGATTGCTGCGCGAGGAGACCGATCGTGTGAAGGTGCTGCGCGGGGAATTGGACAAATATGCGCAGTGCGTGACGCAAGTTTAATTGCTTACCAGTAGTTGTTCTGCTTGTTGATGTTAGGAATGTGTAGTGGAGTGCGTTGAGTACATACTATGTAGTAGTGTGTGATTGGTAGTGGATGCGCCCAGTCCCTTAGAGCCCTGACTTGTAATGCGCTTGTCGAGTTAAAGTGAAGAGAGAGAGAGCCCGGGTTTCTTACATTCTTGCAAATTTTACTGCATTCCAATTTATTTTATACGTATGTAAGTTTTGATTTTCCTTCTTAAATTATGTGATTAATTTAATATGCGGGCATTTTAAAAAAGTCCCACATGTAGAATATATGAAAGTTTATGCGTAAATTGAGCCCAATAATGAAAGTAGTGGTGCAAGTATTAACCTACAACATAAATGCTTACGTGTGTCATTTATTTTTTCCAAAACTTTAATACGTTTTTTGCATGCTTTGCCTATTGCGCCTACGATTGGATCGTATGTATAGCGGTTGAGCGGTACTTTTTGGTTGAAATTCTCAAACCGATTGCTGATATAAAACTGCGTTATGAGCGCGTTTGTAGCGATGTTAAATATATAAACGATATTAGTAAACAATTAATGTACCATATCACGCTGTTCAAGAATTTCTCTAAAAATAAAACCATTAGAGCGTAACAAATGATAAAACTTACATAGCAGTACTTAATACGGAAATGCTCCTTTTTAGAAAAATTAAGTGAAAAAAAAAACAATTTTCGCATAGTTTATTAAAATGTATAGGTTTAATATTCACGTAACAAATAAGTATTTTTCTAAAAACAGCGTAAAATTACAAAATTCGAGAAACAGCTAACCGATAAATAGAATATTAATAATAGTAGCTACTGTGGTTTTACACATTTTAAAGATGACAGTTGAAATATAACGTTTAACTTATCTACCTATACTTACATACTACATATCCGCACCTTCATGTCAGAAGCATGAATGTGCAAATATATCAGTTTTGAGTTATTGGGTTGACTTGATTAACCTTTGAATGTTCTATGTTATACCAAAACCCAGAATACCATGCGTACACGGAAAGCACATATTTTACAATTTCAATTGCATAAATGTAAAGTTAAGCCGCGTAAAAAAGCCTTTCAAACTTGATTTCCAGAAATTTTAATTTTTACACATTCATGTTTCTGGCATATGGGCGACGATATTAAATAAAAATTTGTAACAAAATAAGCGCGTGTGTATTGTGTCAATAATACTAGAATTAGATGTATTTGCCATTTAATTGCTAATTTGCAAATCAGTCTAGTTATGAATACAAAACAAACACACATTAAATCTTGAAATCTTATATTCTTTTTCTACTACGAATCCCAAATGTAACAAGATCATTTCTTTATACAGACATATATATATACATATGTAGCTCCGTTGCATGCCAAAATAGCTTCTTATAGCCAAAATATTCGATGTCTGCAAAGTTTTTGCCTTTTTTTTATTTAGAAAGGTTGCGTGCATAACCATATGCAACGCATACATTTATTATTACTATTACTCTTTTTTTGTTACACGTAATATTTACTGCAATCATGTACTATATTAAAAAATACGATTAAATATTAGGTCATAATGCGAATTGAAATAATAAAAAAAATCCTTAAAAATTTATTTTGTTTCCATTTTACTTTTTTGGTTCTGATTTGCGCGTCTACTCTGTGGTAACAAAAATTTTGTAAAAAGTGGAAACGAGAACATTACGCATTTTAATAATATAGCGTATAGATCAAAAACTTTGATTTTGTGGGAAAACGCAATCAAAGTGAACAATTCATACAGTTGGTATACAGGAAGACAGACATTTTCGAAATTTTCTGCGAAGTTCAGTTGTCTGTTAGACTGAATTCTGCTCATTAAACTTTTTTTATTTGATGAAATCTCCCAAAACGTAAATTTATTTAATTCTCTATATTATTAATCATGCGATTTGTTTACAAAATTTTCGGTTACAAAAACTTCTGCAACGTCCAGAGTAAGTCTGTTAGTATTTTTTAAGCTGTGTCATTTAGTTGCATGGAAATATTTCAAACGTACTAGGGGTATTCCTTCAAATCAAAAAAATATACATTAGTTTCCTTGTTTAAGTTTTTTTGTCAACTGGCTTTTTCATTCGAATAGATGTATACTTTTATACGTACATACATATATGAACAGGCTATGATATAAAATTTATGAGTTACAAAATGCATGTAAATTTTTATAGTAGCTAATAGTTAATTTATCCAAACACTACAGTTTTTAATAACAATTTCCAGTTGGATTTCTATTTTGAAGACATTGCGATTTTCCTATATTGTATAGCGCAAGTTTAGCTGGTCCAACGACTTCTCTACAGAGGTGTCCGTCCGGTGCTGTGTTGGTGGGCTGCACTATAACTGAAATAGCACTTTCTGCGGCCAAAAATCCACCTATACAGATACGCGCTTAAAATCGTGTACACTTGCTTAGAACCTTAAAAGACTTTGGTTTGAAAATCAGCGAAATCGGCCCACAACCACACCTACCGCCCATATACCGGGTGTCCCAGACCACCCGTTCAGCCTTTCGAAAATGATGCCCTTCACCACGTTGGTGATTCTCTATCTTTTGGTCGTATTGCCGACTTCCGGTCTCGAACAGAAACATTTCTGACAAAAGTTACATATTTTTGGCCCCAGGATCCGAATCTGTGAAAAAGCATGTATGTCCCATTTAAAAAAATGGACTTCCGGTCTATCCACACGTTAAATATTTGTTCATTTTTGACTTTGTTGACGTTTGAAAATAGTAAATTTATCAAATTACAGCAAGACGCAGCAGTCAGTCCATACACCAAATGAAAGTAGATGTAATGCGCTTTTATCAGATATATATGCCATATCGGACGAGATTGGACAGAAAAAGTCACACTCCACGAAAGAAGCAGAATATGTTTAAATTTGTGTATAATGAAACAGGGAATTTTTCAAAAACACAAATGTTATTTAAAACCGGGATTTTTATAGTTAGTAGTACATACCATTAGTATTATTGCACATCCGCGTTTCACTGCAGTTCAATATAATGAAATTCTAGAACAAACTAAAACCAAAACCACAAACTTTACGTTGACACATAGGGACCTGGGTTAACTTGCGGTCATTAACTTATAATTTCTTTTCTAATAAGAGTATCTAGAATAAAGTCCGCAGAAAGTGCTTATTTCAGCCATAGTTGGCTGATGAGTTTGGCCACTTTAAACATTTTTTTTTAACCTTATGTTCCTAATGAAAAGAACCAAATCGCCAAGCGAATTTCTCCGAAGGAAGCCATGCCATCGGGTAATATTCGTTGCAAAATTTTGCACAGTAAAACAGAACCAAACGAAATCCGCATCAGATTCATCGAACTTCATCGTCGCTTTAGTTGTGTGCGATCTCATATACTGCAGTGTGTTATAATTTTGATATCGGGCCTTCTTCCGACGAAGTTTCCTAGCGATTTGATTCTGTTTATACTGTAAATCTCATTAAAATATATTGTTTTTGTTGTTGTTGTTCTATAGTTTTGGTGTTATTGATAAAAAAAAAATGCTCTGGTTTTCAAAAACCTTACAGGCAAAAAAACTTGTCGTCCGATTCTTTTATTTTGTACCAATAGCCCAATATAAAAAATATACAAATGCACCAATCGTGTGACACTGTCTTAAAAGTTGCCTGTCAAATCGCCTCAAGCAAACACGGTTTAGCGAATTCTGTCAACTTAATTCTCACGAGCTTCGAGAAATTTAATGAAATATTTGCGCATTTGCAGGAACTATGACACTATGCTAAAAACAAAGCCGCTAAGTGACGTTAGAGTCAAGATATTTGTTAATATCCTATTTATGGTAGAATTTTTGCATATATTCGAGGCATAAATTGATTAAGCGAGAATAAACGAATTTTTTTCGACTTTCTCGGTGATTTTTTTGAGCTTTTGAGGCCCAAAAGTATACCGAAGTGTTAGCTTAGCTTCTTACGAATATCTGAACATTAAAAGCCAGAAATAATTCATATTCGCTTATTCCTACATTCAACTTTGCTTCTTCCCTCTTATTTTTTAAATTAACGAGTAGCATGATAAATCCTAATCCATTGAATGTTTTATTCTAGCATCTTTTAAATCTATACTTTTCGATAGAGGAATTATATACACTCGCATGTTGTTTTTAAATTTAAATAACCAGGTCTGCGAAATTTTACTTTTTTCCGCTTCCAATAATTATGTTATTTTTTTTTTGAATATCTAGGTATTGTAAATAAAAATCCACCTTGGTTTTTTTCTAGGACTTGAACCTCATTGAGTTATATTATACAAAATTCTGTTAGACTAAATAAATTTGATAACAAAAACCGCACCCTTTTACTTTACACTAATATTCATACCAAATGTGGTATTTTTTTAAGAATGACTAAAACACATGTTTTACACTTGAATTCGGTCACCTTCAACGTTTTAGGCTAAAAAGAAACAGGGTGATATCCTCTTAAAACTAAATTTATAGAAGTTGACACAGTTGTCAAAAGGATATGAAATTACGAGAGAATCGAAACAGTCTCATTAAAACTCGATCAGACTCCACAATGGGTCATATGACCCCAAAAATATGGTAGAAGCAGTGCTTGCACAAAGTGTTAAGCCATTGTATCATTTACTTTAGACCTTCAGTAAAATTTTGGTTGGTTTTAATGAAAATTAATTATTCACAGGTAACTTTAAATCGGGTTGAAGCCACAGATGTGAATAAAGTTCTGAACGTCATCAGTTTACGAATATTTCCTATTAACGTCAAATCTAAAAATACACGGTATTTATTCAAAACAAAATTAGTGGATATGCGTGAACTATGAACAAAAAAACATAAACTAAAGATAGTTTAGTGGAACAAATTGACTGCTCAAGTCTCTAGAACGGGTGTTTAGTGTCATATGCTAAACAAAGTAAAAAAGTGTCAGATGGTAAACCAATATGTTGTTACCACATATTTAACAAAAGAAAAAAGAAAAGGGTGGGGGAAACTTGACTATTATTCATATTGTATTGGTCTAAAGTGGTTCAGTTTTTGATTCGGATCAAACAGTTGCGGAAAATTTCAGTTCGGTTGACGGTTCAGTTAATTAGTAGAAAAAAAGCGGTTAATCTTGTTCAAACCCGGATACGGGAAGGCAATTTTTTGTAGATGGCGCAGGTTTTAAGGATTTCAAATTGATTGATAATTACTGCCGCAATCTTATCTTCAAATTGACTTGTATTTGCGTTGCGAACGGAGCAACCGAATGACAACATGAATTCGAAGACCGACGCGACGACTAAGATCAACATGAATACGAAAACTGACACGAACACGAGTAAGAAGACGAATATGAAGACGAACACGAATACAAATAAGAATGCAAGGACGAGTAGGAAGACGATTACGAAAACGAATGCGAGAATGGAAGAATAATAAGAAGATGGAGATGAAAATGAAAACAAATACGAAGGCCTATATGCACACAAATACGAGTACGAAAACGGATACGAGTACGAATATGAATACGAATTAAAAGATGAGGTTTAATACGAATAAGTGGTACACACGAAGTCGAATTCGGATATGACGACGAATATGAATACTAAGACGTATATCAAGATGAATTCGAATACGAGGACCAATACGGAGATGAAGACGAAGATAAATACGAGGAAGGATACGATGACGAATACGAAGGGGAATACAAAGACTTATGCCAAGGCTAATGGCAAAGGAAGAGTGGAACGAAGATAGCGACTAAAACGAATACGTAGGTAAATGTGAAGAGCTAATATGAAGACGAATATTTATATGAAGACGACGATTCTCTTGCCGCATTTCCACGGGGAAATAAATGAACAAAATTTTAATGGAAAAGTTTAATAAGAAAGTTACTAGCATGAAATAAACACTAAGTTCCGTTTTTTCTTTTGTTTTTAAATGGTATACATTCTCAACGCCAAGTAGAAATGAGGCATTACAATTGACAATTCTGAAGTGCATTCGATGTTTTCACAAGTGAAGTAGACTATTTTAAGACATATTTTATCATTTGAAATATATTTGGGGGCTTTTAAAATAATGTTAAAAAAGGTATATGTAGATTGTTTTTTGTTATATTTTTGAATAACTTAAGTTAAAAATTGTATTTGAATAAGTTTCGCTGGTAAAAATATTTGTGTTTTTTTTCTGCTTCTTCTCTGTCTCTGCTTTTTCTATCTGAATATTTCAAGGCAACAACAGGCGTCACGACGTGGTAAATTCGATAATTGGATGTTCTAAAAAACATTTCCTTGTCGATGGAGTAATGTGATTTTAATGCGCTGGATGTATGGTAACGAGCTAAAACAATAAACTATTCATTAAGATTACAAATAACAATACTTTTATTAAAATAATCTGATAATAACAGTTCAATTATTAAATATACGTACACTTTTGTACATACATTCATATATGTATGCACATATTGTATGCATACCGATAACAAATATTTATGAAGTTGTATAAAACACAAATACTTCGCAATTTTTGTTTTTCAAAAGAATTTAACAATGTAATATTTAGACAATCTGTTAATTCACAAATGCGCTTAAGA